ATGAAACGAGGAGGAATGAAATCTGCGCTTTGTTAGACACCGAATTAGTTTACTTTTAACGGCTGACATAAAAAGCAGATCTATTATTTGACCTCTCTTCACCTTTTTTAAGACAAGATCCTAAAAGATGTTAAGATGACACTGAACCTTAAAATTCATTAGTTGTAAAGAACATTTAAATAAGTGAAATAAAATTATAAGTTTGGGAATTTTTAAGAAACATCTTTTGGCTTTGTCAAGGCAACATCACGTGATGTTACAAAGCGGTGTCCTTGTGTTTTCTATCAGTTTGAGCCCTCGTGAACTCAGGTGATGTCATTTTCAGTTTTTGAGGGTTCAATTGTGGGACTGAGCCAAGTAGATCAACTAAAAGGCTGAAGGAGAGCAGATTTCAGGTTTGAAAGTCTGAGTCCTGACCTTAATTCAAGTGACGTGCTGCAAGTATGACCTGCACGCAGCATCCAGGACACACTGATACCCTGGTAGGAGGACTCACTGTGTCTGATGGAGGCTGTTGCTGCTGAAGTCCCTAAAGTCAAGAGTTAACTTATTTTCCAGCCTTTAGAGTTAGAATTACATTCAATAATCACTAATTGGAGACATCCTAAAGAGTCCTCACAGCGTCAGCTTCATTTAAACCAACATTGAACTCGTTCATTGTGGAAACTGTTTCTTTGTGTTTATTTGAAAAAAGAAAATACTGTAATATGTATCTGGGTGCCTTTTGGTCATTTTTTCTTTTTGCTTGGTGTTCCTTTAAAAAAAGTGATTGTGTGCTGTCATTTTCTACTGTAACGCCACAAAAATCATCCAAACTTGTAAATGTTTACTCTGCCGTTAAAAGTCTTTGTCATGCCAGACACAATGCTGGTGGAGGGATACGTGAAGTTTCACATATTATTCGGCAGTGTGTCAATAAAACAATTCCCCCCCCAACAATGCTGTTTCCCTGTCAGTCACTCAAAGCCAGGAATATTTATTTTTCACATTTCAGTTCATCGGTTTCTTTACAGACGCAGTCACGACTCAGCACTGGTGCAAATGAATTTATTGAGGGGAGGAAAAAAAAAAGATCAAAGCAAATACAAAACACTTATATAACCGTCAAAAGCTCATCACCATCATGTTGATAAAAAATATGTTCGTTTGATTTCTTTTTTCTCTCTGAAGCGGCACATTTTAAATCTATGCTGCTCTTCTTGGCAAAAAAAAAAGCAATAATTTGAATGTATTTATCTCTGTACTTACAAATGAGGTAAAAACATTGTTCACAACATGTCTGCACCCAGAACACAACACTGAAGAAGCCGTCGTATGCTACAAATGAATGGTGGGAAGTGAATCTCCGCTCCTTACAGCTGTAGTGAAGCATGAAGTGTTTTCATCCTCGTGTGTGGGGCTCAGGCTCGGACGCTCTCCAGAGAGCAACGTACGAGCATCGCTCTCGAGGAACTCCCCGCTGCCTGAAAGATAAGCCTGTCTTTTACTTTTAGGCATCATTGACTGGAAACGCTCTTCTTTATAAAAGCTGCATTGTTGCCTCCGCTGCTCGGAAAGCGTTTGTCTGAAAAAGAAGCTGCAATCTGGGGATCCACTCCTCTGTCAACTTTTTTTTTTTTTTTTTTTTTTGGAAACTCCTCACATTCCTTTGGTTTTTCCAGCATGACAGCGGGCCATCAGCTCCTATTAGGATTAGTGGCCTGACATGTTTTCACACTCTACTACCCTTTGACTGCTCTCTGCCGACAGGCTCAGCTCTGCCAGCGTGAAGACAAATAGAAAGAAAAAAAGGCATGAAGGGAGCGCTGCTGATGCTGCTGCTTCCAGCAGAATCCAGCGGCTGAAACGCCAGAAGAAGCCACGCTGGAACTTTGGGGAGAATCGTAGGTTCGGGGTCATGTGGGTGGGGGTGCACGACTTTTTAAGCTCATCCCATTTGCAGTGCAGCAAACTGTTATGCGGAAAACTGTTGCTTGCAGCATCTCTTCCCTCGGCGGCTCCCCCACAGGGCCGCTGTGCTCCGCGGTGCACTGGTGAGACATCTCACCACAGGGCTGGGCTCCCTCCGCTTCACTCCCTTCCCTCATTTGCTCTCTGATTCAGCCCCCTACCCTGCAATCCTCGCTCTTGTTTTAAAAAGGGAAAAGAAAGGGGACCCTTTTAGACTCCCATTCGCTGCGTTATTATTGTTATTTGCCTTTTTGTTCTTTTAAGACAAAGTGTTTACTTTTTTTGCAGAGCTGAGAGAGAGAGAGAGAAGCTGGAGGGATAATTCACAGTTTTGACATTAAAAAAAACAAACGCACAATGACATGTTCCTGCAGCTCTTACCCACAATCCTCATGTTTCAGCCAAGAAATATGTGCTAATTTAGCAAGACACAATAGATGGATGCGTGAACTGCATATGGCACAGCTATCACAGCTCACAAGCATATATATATTTATATATATATATATAATCCTTATAAATATCTCTTACCCTCTTCCCTCCATTTATGTTTATTGAGTAGTCACCTTGAAAGGCAGCTCGGTGTACTTTGTATTCTGCCGAGCATCTGTTAAAATAGTCTCTCGCAGCCGCCACATTTGGTATGCCAGAGGAACAGCGTGCACGAAACAGAGCAACAGAGCGAGCATTTCCTCCCTCCCGCAGTCCACACGTCCACTCGCATTTCTTTGTTACAAAGACGTTTGAATTTTTGTGCACCCTCCCCCGGGTGAGGAGGAACGAGCGGCGGCGGAGCGTAAATGAGAATAGGAAATCAAATGAAGACGCGGCCACGGTACTAAGTAGAAAGCTTGATGTCTTACAACCCATGGAGCGTTGAAACTTGAAACACCCAACCAATACAGAATTACTCAACCTAGCAAAAGACACATTACCAGAAAAGAAATCTCACCCTGGAAACCAGCGATGGTCGAAGCACTTCTTTTTGTTTTTTTTCTCATACAAACATTGACAGAAGCTGTTTACAGCCAGGCAGCGAGAACACGACGTGTCCACTACAGTGAAACTGCGTTGGATGGGCTACTCAGTATGATCCGCCTCATCTTCACTGTCTTATCGTGTAACAGTACCGTGTGAAATATATGACATTTATTTACAGAGCAGCAAGGTGCTAAAAATACATTTAGTAGCATTGATTTGCTCAGGTGTATATATATATGTATTAAAAAAATCCCGGCCAAAACATTTTCATATTTTCTGCCTTCAGCTGGCAGCTCATCCACACACGAGGAAATTTGGGGTTTTAGTGTCTGTGACTGGAACAGATTTTTCCGACAGTGAAGCTAAGCTCCATCATGATGAGTAGCCCGAGTGCAGGCTGACGTTCTGAAGCATTTAACCTGACTTGTAGGTTTGATAACGTCTGCTCCTGCAAAATTGCCGTCCAAGGTAGAGTGAGTGCAGAGCGACAGGCTCTTTTCATAGGGACACTTTCATCTGTCTCTTAGGCCCCCGCTTTGATTGACGGGTCTCATCATCCAGTAAATACAACACAGTTCGTGTCAGCTGTCAGCAAAGCGCTGCGCGTGGAGCGACTCTCTCTCTGTCGGCCAGTCTCTCGCTTTTCCAGCCTCGGTCGCCGCCAAGCGTCTGCTAACTGATTGTTTTGGGCGGCCCCGTTATCAGGGTCCGATCAGTTTGTGAGTTTGTGTCGGAGCTCAGAGGTCGCTGGCCTCGGCTCGCTCGTACAGCGCCCGAAGCTTCTCGAAGCGAGGCCCCCACTCCCCGAGCGTCTCCTCCCTCCTCGCCTCCGCTCCCCCTTCTCCGCTGCTGCCTCCATCCAGCCCTGCTGAACTGAAGGAGCTGAGGGAGCCGGCGGGCGAGCCCCCGCCCTCGGTGGAGAAGACCTGCAGGGAGTCAAAAGGTCCCGTGTCTGGATGCTGGTCGGCATCGCGGATGATCTCGCACAGGTAGCGGGCCAGATCCTGGCTGGAGAAGGAGAGGGAACGACGGGCTAGCTGCGAGGGACGGGCCTGGCCCTGGGCCGGCAGCCTGGTGGGGGGGACGTCCCTGCGGAGACTGGTCGTCGTGGTGGCCGTGGAGGAAGTGGAAGCTGCAGAGGGAGGCAAGGTCGTGGAGCTGGTCGTCCGGCTCAGGGGGTCCAGCGGCTGGGAAGAGGGTGGGACGGGGGGCGCCTGGTGGAGGAGGTGATGGTGATGATGGTGGGGAGGAGGAGGGTGGTGCAAGGCTCTAGAGCGGCAGTACTGCACTGACTGGGCCGGGCTCGGCTGGAGGGACTTCTGCAGCTCTGCCATGTCGTAGGCATTCTGGTCTCACACACACACACACACACACACACACACGCACATTTACACAAAAGCAGATGAAAAGTCTGAGTTAGCACAGGAGCTGTAAAAACAGAGAGGGACTGATTGTCTGGGGGAGGAAGATGAGGCAGAAAAAAATGAAATGTGACAGTGAGAAAGCAGAAAAATGAAAAGAGCGCAGAAAAACAATCAGCTCGCCCCACAACGTTTACTGTGAATGTTCCACCTATTTAAGTTTCCAATCTGTCTCCATTTACTGTTGCAGAAAACTTGTAATTCAAAATATCTCAGTATGCATGCGAGAGACCGAGAAGAAGAAGAGCAAGATGAGGGACATCTCTCTCTCTCTCTCCACTGCAGACAGCTGCCATTACTTTGTCGTGTAGCGCAGCAGCAGCCACTTTGGTGCTAACGCGATTCCACCAGAACTGTAACCGGGGTGGCAGAGATGCAAAAAGATGTAGGAGGAGGAGGCGGCGGAAGAAATGATGCACAAGGAGGAGGCGTGGGTCGCTTTGTGAAACTGATTATGTGATGAGTGCTGTTTTTATTCCTCTAGAGCGATTTCAAACAAGACTCCAGAGAATTAACTGCAGTGGCTGCTGTGTATAGGGGATCAGTACTCTGTGTGTGTTTGACTGCAGGTAACGGACAGACTCTTGAAGGTTTGGGGTACTGATAAGGCCAGACAAGGATCTCTATATGAAAGTGTTTTTTTCCTCCTCTTTGTGTGTGTTTCAGCAGTGATTTCAGCAGCCACATGTGTTTGTTGCGATCAAAGCTGTGATATTATGCAAGCTCTTAAGTACCGTTGAGTGCTTGTGGGTTACATTGGCTGGTGGAGAGGAGATAAGGATTTTGCGTGGGCCTAATTAAAACGCTAGCACACACACTGCAGGATTTGATTCCAAATTGAATTGACAGAATCCATTATAGAGCTGCTGCCATACATCCACTGCTGAGAATTTCCAAAATAAAAGCCTTTGCAAACAAAATTAAAACATCTCAACTTCAAAACTTCAAGCAAGCACGTGGCGATGTAGCAGTCACACGCTGAACGTCACTTTTAACAGTTGTGTATGTGTGCACAAAGGTTTCTTTCTGATTTGCTTTGATAACTTTCACAGCAAAGGGTACAGTCTGCATGCATGCGAGCGTGCGAGGGGTGTACCTGGTCCTCCTCCCCGCCGCCCTCCTCATCGTAGTTGAGGACGTTCTCCCGGATGTCCTCCCAGCCGTCGTGATGAGCCGAGACGTGGTAAACGCCCTCTTTCAGCCCTTTGTAGGACCTCCAGCGAGTGTAGAGGAAAATGCCCAGTAGCAGCACTGCAGTTGAGACAAGACGGTGTTGAAGGCATTAGCATTACAAATTGAATGATTAAAATCCTTCAATCAAGATACGCCCTCAGAGACGGGCGCTCTTGATGGAGATGGCCTTGAGCATCATTTGAGAAAAGTGCGAGCAGAGACGTGATACGTTTTAGGAATCGAGTGACGATGACGCTTCAGTTTGAGCTAACGAGCGTTCTGCTGCTGATGTTTAACTAAATAGATTTCAAGGACTCGCAAAAATCTCTGTGACCGTCAGAATCTTTCTCGAGATCGTCAAAAATGCCACGAGTGAGTTCGTGCATCCTTGGGAAACCTCGGGGGTGCAGAACGAAGTGAGATTAATGGGTTAGTGAGGTACTTCTTCTCACCTGGCTAGATCACTATGGTTACCTGCTTCAGAGCAGGCTGGATGTTTATCATGATAAAAGCCTGACTGATCTGCTGCTGAAAACCGTGATGAATTTGGCTGTTTGGTTGGTGAACTTTGGCCTTTCCGAGTTCGGCATTGCATTCTCTTTCTGAAAAATTTGTCATATTTCATGAAAATATTTTCACATGAAAAATGTCTTTAAACAGAAACAAAGGAGGCCACATGACCAAATGAGCTAGAAGGCAGGTCAGCCTCTAGGCTGAGAAACAAACACCTCAAAGGTCTTCAGGTGGCGCCTTCATTACAGGCACCAAAACACTCTCCGTGTCAACAGGGACGAGACGTTCCAGGTAGAGCTGCAAAGATTAGAGATGATGGACAGACAAATCAAAGTCTGGGTCAAAAAGAACATTTATGAGACGTAGAGCAAATAAAAGATGCTGGACACCATCTGCCAAAGAAGTTGATTTGCTCAGAGTGAAAGCGAGGCTGTTTGTTTATCTCTTCATCCATTGGATGGACAACAATGTGGCCTTACTGATTTCCTCATAAAGCTGCTGTAGTAACAGCTGTACAGTGTGTAAGAAGATACCGTCAGACTAAACCAACACAGGAGGAGCTTCGAGAAGCAGATTACCTTAACAAGGTCCAAGGTAAGCACGGCTGCGATCGCTGAAATTATGCGATTCTTTAATGAAAAGGTTGAAGGACACAATTTTAATTTCCTCGCCAATGTCTTAACCGTATTTTCTATTCGCTGAATTAAATAAAAATGCAATAGCTGACCTTAAACTGTTGTTTGATTTTCCCCCCAATGAATGCCGTACTTTATTTCATGGGCACGTTAATTTCATTTTATTCTTTAACCACATTTTACAAACTCCTGATTCTGCACCTCTGAGAAACCGGATCGTTACAATCGTATCAGTTACAGCGCTGACTCGAAGCGTCGCCTCTATCATGTTAAATAGTTATTAAGTATGAAATTAAACATCATATCAGTGGCTGACACATCTGGCCAGAATAAGATTTTCAATTAAAGACTAATAAACATGTGAACCTAATTAAAATGCTAATTTAAATTATTCACAACCTCATTCCTTTACATCTGCCAGTATCACTGTAGTTAGAGGTAATTATAGCCATGTGACTGACAGGCTTTGTAGACACTGAACATGCTTCGGATTATAGGCGGCTCACTTAGTGCTGACAGGGTACTGATACCGGCCTCGATAACGGGAGGGAGGAAAATTAGCCGCCTGATGTCTTATTGGAATTAATTACGCTCCCATTATTGACACATTTAACCTTGAAGGGAACCTACTATGCTTTTCTGTCATGATGGGTGCTCGTGAGCTCAGCCTACATAAAAATAATCCACAGACTGTATATAAAAGACAGACGTAATCACACTCACTGGTTTTAGCTTTCTGGTCTCTGGTCATTATTGTTTTGGAACCATTGATCACATTTAAGGTGTTAACCAGTGTTGGTCAAGTTACTTGAAAAAAGTAATCAGTAACTAATTACCGATTACTTCCCCCCAAAAGTAATCCAGTTACTTTACTGATTACTTATTTTCAAAAGTAATTAATTACTTAGTTACTTTTTTAAAACACGATTTACAACCTGAATAGGTGATAAAGTGATAGATCTTTCAGCCCAATTCTACTTTTTCT